CACCCCACAGCCAGCTGCTCTCCGGGGCCCTGCGCTGCATCTGGAGTTCTGTGCCGCCCGCCGGAAACCTGCCCCACCGCGCCGGGCCGCGAAGGCCCAGTGAAGTCTGAGTGCGGGGAAACAGCCCGAGATGGGTAGGAATTCTCACCCCCAGCAGGGGGCGCTGCGGGGCGCGGGGCAGGCGGGTTGGCTGCTGGGGCAGATCCCCGCTGCTCCAGTCCCAACCTTTCACCCCCTAACAAACAGGAAATGGCAGCTGTATTCCCTGAAATCCTCCGGGGCCCTCCTGCCATGCCCTGGCTCTGGGCACCCGAGAGCAGCTTGTCTACCCAGCGCATTCTGCCAGCACCCAGCATGACCGTACCCTGCCATGGCATAACGCCTGCTATAAATTGTCACGCTTGCAATTCACGCCTTGGCTGGCGCGGGGGGCTCCTGCCTCCGTCCTGCCCCGTAGCTGAGCCTTTGAGGGGGGAACAGGGGTTGATTTCCCAACTCTTGCTTTCTGCATGGGAATGAAATCATTGGGCCGGGCACAAGGACACCCCCAGGGCCCTGCAGGGCCAGCCCCCGGGCCTTTTCCAGCCTGTGCTCCCGCGCTTGGCCCTTCCACCCCCCCCGTCCCTCAGTGAAAGCGGATGCAGAACTCGCAACCCAAGCACAGCCCCCGGTGCCCAGGGTCTCAAGAAAGAGCCAGGGATGCTGAGACGGCCCCTGTGGCCAAGATCCAAGGGGCCAGAAGCTTCTGCAAACAAAGGGCTTTTATTGTCCAAACGCAAGGAGGATCGGGTCCCTTCCCCACCCTGGATCGGGACCGCGGCTCGGCTTGGTGGGCACCCCCGGGCTGGGCCGCTGCTCTCACGGGGAGCCTGCATCCCCCCTGGCTGGATCCTCAGCCGCTGGTGTCCTGAGGTTTTGGGCTCTCCTTGGGCAGTGGTAGAAGTCCTTCGCAGCAGCCATTGGGTGGTGGGGGGCGGGTTAGAGAGAGAGAGAAAGGGGGCAGGGAACAGCCCCCCCCCCATAGAGCAATGGGCTGAGGAGGCATCAGTTGCTTAGGCGCATCCTGCCCGGCCTGGGGAGAGAAGAGGAGACAGTGAAATGCCGCGTGGCCTTTGGAGGCAGGGTCCAGGCTGGGGAGCTGGGATCCCATGGGCGGCGGGGGGCAGAAGGATCCAGGCCTGGAGCTCAGGTTTGTTCTGAATCTCCGTCCGCTAGAGCAGAGGCTGGAGGGAATCGCGCTCCCGGCACAGCTGGGCCGGCGGGTGTGACTCAGGGCACCGGCTGTGCCCGCACGACGCTGGCCTAGCAGAGGCGCTTGGAGTCAGGATGGTTTCGGGGAGTTAGAGCTCTCAGCAGCCCTGCAAGGCGAGTATGTTCATGGGTGGGGAAACCGAGGCACCGGGAAGGCCTTGCCTGAGGCCAGGGCAGAGCTGGGCGTGGGGTCCAGGCGTTCTGATGCCCTATCCCGAGTGATGAAAGCAAAGCCACACTGCCCCCTGTGCATGGGGCCCGTCCACGCCGGTGCCCTGGCCAGAGCCCCCAGGGCCCCCCAACAGGCGTTTGGTTCGCTCGGGCTGGGACAGGCTCGGTTCCCCGTGAGGGACGCGGCGCTGCAGAGAGGAGCGGGAGGAGAAGGTGAATGATTTGTGCCCGTCTGATGGCATTAGACCTCAGCTGGCAGCGGAACAAGTCCCTGTGCCTCAGTTTCCCCCTCTGCAGAACGGGGCTCAGGCTCCTGCCCTCGGAGGTCGGCTGCTGGGAGGTGCTAGGGGGTGGTAGCAGCACCCCAGAAACACGAGCCTCTTCCAGGGCAGAGGGATTTGACACACACACATTAGAGATTATCCGCCGGGCACGGAGACGGTCCTCCCGGGTCCGAGGGGAGAAAGGAGCGGCCACCCCCCAAAACAGAGTCCGAAAAGTAAAGGCCCCGGGGGGGGGCACCTACCCGACAGCACCCACTCAGCCAGACAGGATGTGCTTGACGAAGGCTGTGGGGGGAGGAGAGAGGCTTTAGGCAGTGGAACTGGGCCCCCAGAGGCACCTGGATGGCCCCTCCCTTAGGAACCTCCCCCCTCCCCCCCCCGCTTCCCGGCAATGCGACTGGAGGGTCCCCGACTCCGGGCTCTCACCTTCGTAGTTGATGCAGCCGTTGGAGTCCTCGTGCCCGGACAGGAGGGCGTCCACCTCCTCCTCCGTCAGCTTCTCGCCTGCGGCCGGAGGGGGCAGCGCGTTAGTGCTGGGGAGATGTTCCCCCCCGGCCCTGTGCCCACCCAACAGCCCGGGGGGCCCTGTCCCTGTCCCTGCTGGGTGCCAGACCCACAGCCCTGGGGGGGCCCTGTTTCCCCCCTGATCACTCTGGGGAGCCCTGCCCCCCCCCATCTGGTGCCAGACCAACATCCCCAGGGGGCCCTGTTCCTGCCCGGTGCCCGCCTGACGCTGCCTGGTACCTGTCCAACAGCCTGGGGGGGGGCTGTCCCTGCCCGGTGCCAGACCGACAGCCCTGGGGCGGGGGGGGGGGCATTCCCCGCTGCCTGGTACCAGACCAATAGCCCTGTTCCCCCCCTGCCCGGTGCTCACTCTGGGGGGCCCTGCCCCCCCACCCAGTGCCAGACTGACAGCCCTGACGGGGCCTTGTCCTGCCCCCATGGGGACCCCACCCCGGGGGGGCCCTGCCCAGTGCCCGACCGACAGCCATGCCCACCCCTGAAAGGGCCCAGCCTGGGTAGCAGCAGGGCAAGCTGCCTCCTGCCCCGTCCCTGCCCACAGGCCTTGCCCAACCCAGAAGGGACACTGAGCCTCAGCACAGCCAGTGCTTGGCGCCGGGCAGGACACCTGGGTGGGGCACCCCTGGCCTGGCGCCGTACCCGCGGGCCCCTGCCCCAGACTTGCTGAGCCTCGCCAGCCTCAGAGGCCCCTGTCTCGGGGGCTGCCCTGTGGGGGGACCCCTCTGCCAGCAACAGGCGGCGCTCACCCAGCGTGGAGAGCACATGGCGCAGCTCGGCCCCCATGACGGTGCCATTCCCCTCCTTGTCGAAGACCCGCAGCCCCTCCACGTAGTCCTCGAAGGTGCCCTGGTCCTTGTTCTTGGCGATGGTCTGCAGCATGGGCAGGAACTGCTCGAACTCCACCCGCCTGGAGTGCAGCTCTGCCGCGGGAGGGGGAAACTGAGGCTGGGCCAAGCCCCCAGGGACCCCGCCATGCAGCCCCCCCTCATGTGGCTGGAGGAGGGCAGTCTGGCCCCCCTGGCACCGCATGGGGCCCCTGATGCCCCCCCATCACATAGCCCAATCAAACCCCAAAGGAGGACCCCCATTGCTAACCCCAGTAAGGGGGTCTCTGAAAGGCTAGGGGTCCAGACCCACTCCCACCACACACACAATCCACAGCTAGCGTGGGGCTGGTGGGAGACCCCCAGAGCAGGGAGGGGCTGGAAGTAACACCCCTCCGAGACGCGTGGGGGAATTCCTTTCTCCCTTTGGAGCAACTGTTTCAGGCTCTCTGCAGACTCAGGCAGATGCCGTCACCCTGGATTCCAGATTCTTCCCTTTTCACAGTGCAAGCTGGGGCTGCGATGTCACGTGACTCCAGAAGCTGGGGCTTTGGCCACAGGCTGATAGCGCCCGAGCCACATCCCACCCTCCACCCCGGCCCCGCAGCTGCTGAGGCCGCTCGCTCACCATCGGGCTTGGGGTGGCCCAGCACCTTCATGACCTCGGCGTTGGTGGGGTTCTGGCCCAGGGCCCGCAGCACATCCCCGCACTGGCTCAGCTGAATCTTGCCGTCCCCGACCCGGTCAAAGAGCTGGAAAGCCTCCTTGTAATCTGGGGCGGGGAGCAGAGCAGGTCAGAGGGGCTGGAACCAGACATCCTCTGCTAGTCTAACTCACCTGCTTCATGCCAGGGAGGGGGGCCCAGCCCGGTCCGGACCGCCCTTCCTGCCAGCATCCAGCAAAGCCCAGAGATCACCAACCCCAGCAGGAGCCAGGAACGGAGCTCCAGAGACCCCCATCCCCGTCCCAAGGGGCAGCATCCCGCTCTGGGCGTGACGTGCTGCTCACGCTTGTATCGCCCCCAGATCCCATCGAAATCTGAGATTACACACAGGGCGCATCGCTGAGACACAGCCACCTCTGGGGTGCAACCTGGCCGCTGCTGA